GACTTCAAACAACTTGGGCTATGAGCTTCTCCACCCTTCCTCCAGACTCTAGGACATTGGTTTCCAAATAAAATACAAAACTTGTTCTCATCTGAAAAGAGTACTTTGGACCACTGAGCAACAGTCCAGTTCTTCTTCTCCTTAGTCCAGCTAAGACACTTTTGACATTGTCTGTGGTTCAGGAGTGGCTTGACAAGAGAAATAGGAATGGAATACGACAACTGTAGCCAAATTCCCTGACACGGTAGTGTGTGGTGGCCCTTGATGCCTTGACCCCAGCCTCAGTCCATTCCTTGTGAAGTTCACCCACATTCTTGAATCGATTTTGCTTGAGAAGCCTCTCAAGGCTGCGGTTCTCTCGGTTGGTTGTGCATCTTTTTCCTACCACTCAACTTTCTGTTAACATGCTTGGATACAGCACTCTGTGAACAGCCAGCTTCTTTGGCAATGAATGTTTGTGGCTTACCCTCCTTGTGAAGGGTGTTGATGATTGTTTTCTGGACAACTGTCAGATCAGCAGTCTTCCCCATGATTGTGTTGCCTAGTGAACCAAACTGAGTGACCACTTTGAAGGGTCAGGACTTGCAGGTGTTTTGAGTTGACTAGCTGAGTGGCATGTCACCGTATTCTAATTTATTGAGCTGCACCTGTACCGCCTGATTACTGCTGCAAGTGTGTTGAGAACACAAAGAAGCCACAGTCTGCCACAGCTATCCTAAAAGTACTAGGTATCTACACTTGTATGTTGCTACTTTGTGCTTATGTGCTTTTAACTTGCATTAATGTTTTAATCTAATCTGCATTCAAATGTTTGATCTGTCTATGCATTTTAGTATTTGATCTATCTGTGTGAATTGTGTGCACTGTTTTAAGCACTTTGAATTGTCTTTGTGTATGAAAATGTGCTATATAAATAAAACTTGCCTGTATCCCTTTCTATTTTTGTGAAGTTTCATAAACAGACTTGTCATTTCTTCTGGCAGTTCTTTTCCATGTGGAACCATGATGCAGACATATACAGTAGAGGTAACGGAAACAAAGCTGTACTCAGTTTTGTTTCGGCAATCACAGGTTTTCTAATTTGTGTGTCGGGTCTATTCATTTTGTTGCACTATCTACTTTGGGGCCTGTATTTTCTTTATGGTCATTCAAAAGTATTTGTTTTTGACTGTTCATCAGAGGAAATACTTTGCTTGTCAACTTGGAAATAATGAAATTATTGAAACATGATACAATTTTGAATCATTCAACATTTACACCAGGGGTGGCCAATTCCAGTCCTTGAGGGCCACTGTCCTGCTTGTTTTCCAACTATCCCTGCCTGACTTGTTGCTGATTACCTGGCTCAGGTGTGTTCAGCCAGTCAGAAGCTGGAAGATACCAATTCACTTTATCTTTCCTCACTCCACTTTCATCTAAGATGGTATCTTAGGTCAGGCAGGGATAGTTGGAAAACAAGCAGGACAGTGGCCCTCAAGGACTGGAATTGACCACCTCTGATTTAAATGATACTGCACAGGGGCATCCTCACTTCTGCCTTAGACTGTAATTCAAACCAACAATCAGTAAATGAGTCTGGTTTGTTTAAGAGTTGTGGACCTGGTTTTGATGCTCCAGTCTTTGGGTCTCCAGATCCTGGCTCAGCTTGGTGACCTGGCTGAGGGCTTCCTGTAGAGCTTGGCTGGGTGAGGAGCTCTGCATCAGGATCTGACTCTGTCTCTTCAGCGTCTTTTGCTCGACCACCATCTGAAGAAAGGAGAAAGGGAGAATGATATGGCACCACAGTGTTGCAAGAAACAAAACAACATCATGAAACTCATCCTATAGGGAATAAGTGAGAAGCATGAAGGGCTGCTGTAAGGAGAATAAAAAAGAGACTCACGGCTCTGGCAAAGTTCTCTGCCTCTGTCCTCAGATCCTGCTCCAGGTCCAGTGTGTCCTGTAAGGCCTTGTATTCTTCCACAGCAAACTGAGACACTGGACAAAGATAATGTACTATCATGCAGTAAACACTTGGTGCAATTATTGTAAGAAAACAAGCCCAGGCGGATGAAAAGTAGCTTCTTTTTCATGATAGATTATTAATGAAATTGTAAAAACGACGAGCACATTTTACATCCCAACCTCTGTTATATTTCCCCAGGAGCTTCTTTTGGCGCAGTGTCTCAGCAATTAAAACAGTGTTATCATGTTTCTCTTTCAGCAGCTGCAAATGTAAGGAGACAGAGTGGAGGAATAAATGATACAGATGAAAATTACAGTTTGTTTTGTGAGTTTTATTTTAGGGTAATTACTGCCACTGTCAAAATGGAGGCAACGCAGAAGGAATCTTTACATTTATCATAACAGTTGTAATTCATCTGAATGTCACTGCTGGTTCGAGTTAATGACTTTTCTTCTCTAAGTAACAAGTTTTCAACAATTCAGATGCTGTAGAAAGCTGGGTGTTAGTGACCTCGCAAAACAAAACAAACACACACACACACACACAGATAAACACTGCTTGAACTTACTTCTGCCCTGGTTTCCCTCAGTTGCTCTCTTACTTCCTCAAGATCAGCTACTGCTTTAGCTTTCTCCTTTAGTGTTAATTCCAGTTTGTTGTGCAGCTCTGAAACAAAGAAAATCAAAGTAGAGATGACCGGTATTTGCACACTATACTGTCACACACTGGTACTGAGAACAAGTGTAAAATATAAAAAAATTACAGTTTGCTTGTTAGGAGTCGATTTTTTTAGGTGCCTCGCTGTAATTATTTTAGCCATCTGAATTTGAATGACATTGTTCTGATCTAACCAAATACATCACGCTGAAGGGTAAACGGGTATGAAAACATGATTTCTGCTTATAAAATAAGAAGAATCAGTGCTGTGGAAATGAACATTACAATACATTTGCCACGTGAGCTGTTGTAGTGGGATACATATAATCCCCAAACCTAAACATAATGGATATGAATACAGTGTGGAATAAACAAACAGTAGAAGCATCAACAGACTGTATTTTATATGTATGCAGCTTCCTGGGTTAAACGCATGAAAGGTCGTTATTTCTTTGCCCAGGAAATCTGAGAAATGCCTTTGTTCTGAAATCTGTGAAATTACCCAGAGAATTAATCTGTTAATACAAAGCAGCTCACAGCAGGACCAGGCTGAGACATTTAGGAGGGTACTTATGCAGTAGAAGGTCACTGACACCTAAAAGTGTTTTAGGCAAAGGATGGAATGCCCTTTGTTAAGTAGGACAAGTATTCTGCTGAATATAATTCTCAAGTCAAATGAAAACGCTAAAAATGCCTGAACAGCAGGTGCTTCCGTGGGCCTCGTCTGAGATGTGCTCAACCCAGAATCTACAGATGGTCTTTAGTCAGTTTAAACCCATATATGGCATAAGCAGTGCTGTAGTACCTGGGTCCAGGACTTGGACTCATGTTTAATTCAAGTCCAGATTTTCAAGACCTGACTTGGACCTGAGGCACCGATGACTCAGGCTTGGGCTCGGACTCAAGCACTGACTGCATTCGGACTTGGAAGTTAAAGACAAGGACTCAGATGTTTTTGTTGGGAACAGGCCATAAAAATATGGCATGAGAACATGATATTAAAACTTGTTAGCCTGCACCTTGCTATATACAGCGCACGTCGATCAAGGTGTGCACTCCACCCTTCTATAATCAATTTTTATATATTTAAATTACGGAGCAATGTGGTGATGGAATACATTGTTGGAAAATGTGAAAAAGAAAATGGTTGATGATTCTGTATCTAATGATTCTGACTCGGGTAGCAAGGGTTTGACTCAGACTGAACTCAGACTCGACTTAGATTATTCTTTTGTGACTCACTTGACTCGGACTCAAACGCCGGGGACTCGAGACGACTCGGACTCAAGGTTTAGTCATTCGACTATAACGCTGGGTGTAAGGTAACAACACGCAGAGTGAAAGTATCCTGTGTGTTCCCCGACAGGAAGTGCTCTGACTAGTTATCCATTAACATGCAATTACGAATATACACTATATTAAGCCCACAATCCTTGAGCAAGTCAACTTAATTCTGTATTCAATCATCTTCTGATTCAGAGTATAGCATTTGCAAATGACATGATTATATCTCCATTTTAATGCCAGCAGCCTTGAATAACATGATGGGAAAAGCATCATGGAGTATAAATCCATTATCACCCAAGGTATAATTACTGGCTGACTAAAGGAACTGACCATGACATTTACCAGAGACAGCTGAGTGGAAAGAAAAATGGTAAATGGTCTTATACTTGTATAGCGCCTTTCTATGCTTTTACAGCACACTCAAAGCGCTTTCACATTATTCGGCCATTCACCCATTCGCACTCCCAAGCACTCACGCATTCACACACCGGTGACATCACCGGGTGCAACTGGGGGTTCAGTGTCTTGCTCAAGGACACCTCGACGTGTTGACTGGACAAGCCGGGAATCGAACCGCTAATCCTCCGGTTAGGAAACGACCCGCTCTACCTCCTGAGCAGTTCACTAGTACTGCATTTTAAATAGATTAAGACTTACTCAACATCTGTAGTTACTAATTACTTATTTCATGCATCGTTTTAACAGTTTACAGTTTCACTTTTTTTTGGCACACCATATCGTAAATATTCTTTTAATATCTATTTGGTACTTTTGGTTTGGTATATTTAGCATACACTGTCTTTCATTAAATAATTATCAACTGAGATAACAAGAATAGAGACGATATGGACTATTAAAAGAGCACTTCAGCAATTTATTATTGCACTTCCATAAGGTCAGGGACAGATTCAGAACATAAGTTACCCTGAACATCCTGCACACTGTCACTTCTTATTTATTATATTTCACTTTAAACATGTTGTCAATGAACATTAGTCAATGTCAATTAAATTGGTGAATCCCGACTTTCTATAATGTTTCAAGAGCTTCTTTCATTAGACCTCACCTGCTGCTATTAGGTTCTCTATGCCGCTATGTTGTAGCCCAGGGTTTCTGTTACAAATATGCAGCTTCCAAGAAAAATATAGTTCAATGCAGTCATTTTATTCATACCCAGCAGGCAATTAATGAATATATTATGCAGCTGTTTTCATCTGCTATATACAGCACCCGTCCTGACGAGTACATCCATTTTTACATGTCAGTTCTGTACAGTGCCTCTTTGGTCAGTGGTGTGGCCTTGGTCAATGACCGGTAACACATCGTGATAAAAGCTAGGAACTGTGCTGTCAATTTGCCAAACCTGTCAAACCCTGACCATTAGGTTGTTACTTGAACACATGAGATCAATGCCACACATATTTTTGCTGTTCCTGTGTGGCTATAACTGTGAATACAGTATATGTTAACTTACTGGCGAATATGTGAAACACTCGATAGTTGGGGAAGTGGGCGACATCTTGTACCTGAAAGGGCGGTTTGACACTGTGGGGAGAGGCAGACCTTGCTGGCTGCATGTAGGTCTTCATCATACTCTTCCTCTTCAACCTCAAGATTTATCTTTGTGATGGTCTCTGGGCTGAGGTGGCACATCAACATCATGCTCTTCCTCTTCAGAGAGCGGT